CAGACAGTCAAGCCTGAAGGAAAAACATTCAACCATCACAAACATACTGTAAAATAATACAGTCATTTTCCATAATAAATGCATTTTGTAGCCTTGTTTTTACATGAAATTGTGCATATTTCAGTGTTTAATATCGGATACTTGTATATGTAAAAAGATGAAATTGAGCATATTATTTGATATAAAAGGACAGATAGATGGATAAATTCTCTATATATTGCATGATTGCCAGTGCATATAGATATTATTAACTGTAATTCAACCTTTTAGTTGTAAAAACTTCTTCTCCAACTCTTTGTTTTTGTTGATTGTCAGTAATTTAACCAAACTGTAGAAATATATTTGCAGTGTTAAACTTAACTGTAAGAGTTCCACCTATTAAATGAAGAGGAACTAACTGTGTGTTTAATTTAAATTTATAAATGTAACTGTCATTTGTTGTTAAAACAATTCGAAGAAGGAAAGGAAATTTTCAATAACAGACTTTTTTTCTTTTTACATTTTTTTTTAACAATAAAAATCAAACTTAGAAGGATTTTTAAAAAATAAAATTAGACTTTATATAATCAGCTCGCACACACAAGGAATTTGAAATAGTGAATGAAACTGTGGTGCTCAACAACAACAACAAGACAGGCAATAAATATAGAAATCTAAATTTTAAAAAAAAATCTAAATAAAATATTGTATGTAAAAGACAAATATAAAGATCTGTAAAAGAGACATAAACGTACCTAAACCACTTTTTTTTTAACAATAAAAAACTGTAACATTCTAGTGAAATTAGACTTCTTTTTATTTATTTCTATTATACAGATATATTATAGTATTAATTATTTTATTTATTTTTTTATTCATGAATGGCTGTTTTTAGGAAGAAAAATAACTTTTAAAAAATTTAGTTGTATCAAAATTGCCACTTATGTATTCGACTAATTGATTAAGTGACAAAATATTTTTAGCTTTTGAAAACGACTGAAGATTAGTTGTTTAATATTAGAATATGCCTGCAGTGGGGCGTTAGCTCTGTGGACGCTGCCGGCTCTGTTTGCTCAACGGGACTAAATGTCACAACAACAGCAGAAAACGAGGAAACATAAACGCGGGAGCCCTTTGACGCTGTGCCGCCCGGACGTTGCTCCGTCCTCTAAATTCTCTCTCGCACATGTGGACACGTAAACCGTCGGCTAGCCAGCGTCTCTGCGGCCCCGCGGGGTTTCCAGCGCGGCGGATGTGTTGCTACAGCAACAGAGCGGAAATAGCCGCCTGTTTACACTCCCAGTCAGATCTCATCTAGTCTTCACGTCGAGATCGAGCTGATTCAGTTTCCTCTGGTTTACTGTAAAACTGTGGCGAAGCAAATAAAAACCAGAACAACTCGACCCCTCTGCTGAACATGTGAGCTGCAGGAGGTGTGGAGCTGAAGTTCAGAATATTAGAGTGCCACACCTGAATAATGGGATAATTTAATAGGAAAATGCTTTGTTTGCTTTATTGTGTCTTGAGTGGGATTTCCCATCGGGGCCTATGAGCGCCACATTATTTGTTTGCTCAGATCATTTGTGTTGGGCGCCTTGCTGCCTCTTTGTTGTTACCGTGTTATTATCGCTTCCTGAGTCGGTCTCGTCTGTCAGCCTGCTGAGGTTTATCGCGCTGGAGGAGGAGGAGGCTGCGTTCTGTCAAAACTGCAAAAAAACACAAACGTGGCTGTCAGAGCTGCGCGCCAACGCAGCGTGACGTTATTAACGAACGTCACGTTTCATGTGAGATGTGCCTAAAAATAATGACAGACTTTACAAGTCGACGGGAAACTTCGGCGGCGTCTTGTTTTCCTAATTCTGCTTAAAGCGACGCGTCGGGAGTTTGACACAAAGTTCGACTCGTGTCACAACATGTCGCCAATAATCCTCAACGTGATAACGGTCCACGGAAGCGCTTCACATGAGGTGAAACAAAGGCAATGCAGGCAGTCTTTATGACCCCATTTAATGTNGAGCAAAACATGAACCTACGTTACCTTTAAGTTGAAGCCAGTTTCTGGAAAAAGTTCTGATGACTGGATTTCACAGTGAGAAAAATAGACAATAGCAGACAATCCACATTAATCACCATTCAGAGGAGTGTATACGTGCCCAGGTCAGCCCAAAAAAGAGCTGGTTTCCATCAGCAGCCTGTTTGTCTGATGTTGTTCAGCATCCAGAATCCATAATTATGGCTCAATACGTGATGTACAAATGTTAAATTAACCTTCATTCTAATAAAAGCACACGGGGCCCAGATGAGCGGCGTTCACAGTTCGGTTAAATACACCATAATAGACTCAAAGACACAGATATTTAATGAGCATAATCTTGTTAGAGGTGGAAGAAAACAATATCGGTGTTGATATTGTGTCGTCAATGAGCCGTTGCTTCAGATTGTGCTTAAAGGAATAATAGGACGGAGAATGCGGTATCGAATTCCATTGATGTGATGCTCTGAAGGAGGCCGACGTCTGGCTGAATGTAGTTTTTTGTTATTATGATTATTATTATTACTGCATGTACAGTTGCTCTGCTTGCTGGAGATGTGAAGTCAGTGACGTGGACCAGCAGAGGAGGAGTTAAACCTTATAAACTACATCAGAACACATCATATTTCTTTTGGATGTACAGACGATGAAACTGAGCAGCGTCTTGTGCCTGCTTGTAGAAGAATTCCAGTGGTTTTAGGACTACAACATGTGTATTAGAGCAGCTCATGTCATACATACAGCTTTAATGAACAGTGACAGGTGGATGTGGGTAATGTGAGGCGACTCTGGATGTTCTGAGCAAAGCAGATGATGTGAGACGTTAATAAATCTCACTTTAACTGAATAACACTTTGAAAACAAGGCTTTACTAAGAGCCTACAGTATTATATAAAATACTACCTGATCTTATCAAGTATGTATGTTCTACAATAAAATATAAAATACACTTTTATCTGACTAAATTAAATATTAGGGCCCTACAATATTATTAATTATGCAACTTTACCTGCCAAAGTTACATATTAAGAGCCTACAATAATATAGACAATGTAGATTTTACTGACTAAATTCAATATTAGGACCGTATAATATTAAGAATTGTGCAAAGTTACCTAAATAAGTTACATATATTAAGTTTAAAACCCCACAATATTATATAAAATACTAATTTATCTGACTAATTTAAATACTAAGACCCTACAATACTATATAAAACACAACAATACCTCACTGAATTAAATATTAAAACCCTACAGTATTATATGAAACACCAGTTTACTAGAATAAATAAATATTAAGATCCTACAATATTAAATAAATTAGAAAATCACCTGACTGACTTAAATATTAAGGTTAAATTCCTGCAATCTTATATAAAACACTAATTTACCTGACTAAATGAAATATTGAGACCCTACAATATTGTATAAAATAGTAATTTACTTGACTAAATTAAATATTAAGACTCTACAATATTATATGAAATAATAATTTACCTGATTAGTTCAAATTGTAGGACCCTACAATGTTATATAAAAACAAATGTATGTGACTGATTTAAATATTTAGACCCTACAATATTATACAAAATACACATTTCTCTGACTAAATTAAATATTAGGGCCCTACAATATCGTTAATTATGCAAATTTACCCAAAAAGTTAAACATTAAGAGCTTAAAATATTGTAGACAATGTAAATGTACCTGACTTAATTAAATATTAGGACCTTACAATATGATATAAAACACAAAAATACCTCACTGAATTAAATATTAAAACCCTACAGTATTATATGAAACACCACTTTACTAGAATAAATAAATATTAGGATCATACAATATTAAATAAATTAGAAAATTACCTGACTGAGTTAAATATTAAGGTTAAATTGCTAAAATATTATATTAAATACTAATTTACCAACAAATTTAAAGTCTAATAACCTACAATATGAAATAAAATACTAATTTAGCTGACTAAATTAAACATTAAAACCCTACATTATTATATAAAATACCAATTGTCTGTCTAAATAAAATACTTAGACCCTACAATATGATATAAATACAAGTGTAGCTGACTAAATAAGATATTAGGACCCTACAATATAATATAAACTACTAATTTATCTGACTAAATGAAATCGTAAGGCTCTACAATATTATATAAAGTACTAAATACACGACTAATTTAAATACTAAGACCCTACAATATTATATAAAACACAACAATACCTCACTGAATTAAATATTAAAACCCTACAGTATTATATGAAACACCAGTTTACTAGAATAAATAAATATTAGGATCCTACAATATTAAATAAATTAGAAAATTACCTGACTGAGTTAAATATTAACGTTAAATTGCTACAATATTATATTAAATTACCAACAAATTTAAAGTCTAAGAACGTAAAATATTAAATAAAATACTAATTTAGCTGACTAAATTAAACATTAAAACCCTATATTATTATATAAAATACCAATTACCTGTCTAAATAAAACACTGAGACCCTACAATATGATATAAATACGAGTGTACCTGACTAAATAAGATATTAGGACCCTACAATATTATATAAACCACTACTTTATCTGACTAACTTAAATACTTAGACTTTATAATATCATATAAAGTATTAAATACATGACTAATTTAAATACTTAGACGCTACAGTATTTTATGAAGCACTAATTATCTGACTAAGTCAAATACTGAGACCCTACATGATTATATAAAACATCTAGTTGAAGAGAAATCTGAAGCAACACAGACATCAGATGTAAATTCAACCAGATATTAAGACCCTTTAATAATATTAATTATGCAAATGTGCCTGACTCGCTTCAAAATGAAGGTTAAATCTCTGCAGAGTTACATAAAGACACACATTTATCTGATGGATGAAGCATTCAGGCTGCAAACAAAGTAAATAACAAGTAAAAGTCCTGACGTTGTCTCCTGCTGTGTGTCTCAGACCCTCCCTCGGTGTCCATAGAGGGCTACGACAACAACTGGTACGTCGGCCGCTCCGACGCCGAGCTGCTCTGCCTCGTCAACGCCAACCCGGCGCCGACCACCATCACCTGGACCGCGTGAGTACCACCGACCGTCCACCTCCACCTGAATCCACACCGGTTCTGGTTACAGTTACATCATACAGAATGCTGCTGCTGCTCTGCTTTAAGGATGACTGGAGTGTTTTTCTGATAAGACACGTGGTCCTGATGGACAGATGGCGGCTTCCTGTGTGTGGAGGAGCAGGACACAGTTCTTCTCACATCGATGCTGCCTTTGACTATTTTCTGCCTTTTTGATTTCCTTTCACTTCATGTTATTTAATCTAAACTCTCAGACATATGGC